GCTGTTTTTTGGATTGTTGGGTTGGGGTTTTTTTTCATTGTGGAGTTTGAGGCGATGGTTTGGTTGTGAGGTGGGGGTTTTTTTGTGGTTTTATTTTTTATTTTTTTTATTGTTTTGGGTTTTTTTTGACAAATATATCTCCTATTAGTTATTTCTGAATAGAACCTTTAGAGACCAGAGATGAGTATGTAAAATCTAGTGTGGAATGCATTATTTAAAACTTGGTACTTTTTTTAAAATCAAAAACTCTGCATGTTGTACTCCAGCCAAGAGAGAGACACAGGCTTCATTTCTTATCCTTCCCCTACTTTTTCATAAAGGAGAGGAGGGAATAAATGACCAAAAACCTGGAACTTCTGTTTAACTAATTTGTCGTGTCATAGCACAAAGCTTAAACATCTGAGACATAAACACTAAAAATTTGGTCTGTTCATGGTTGAGAGAAGAAACCGTTTTCTCAGATATTAAGACTGCATTTTGAATCTGTTCCTTTAAAAGCAGTTTGTCTGTAGAGTATGTTGAGGTACATTTTGAGACATTAAAATACGACTCTCAAACATTTTGCACTTAATGAGCATTAGTTCACATGCTACTCCTTGTCTACTTAGTGCTTTGTTGGAGTGTAATGTGTGGATTGTGATGGTCAGCTGTACAAAAAAGTTAATTTGATGTTCCTCTGTTTAAGGACCTGAACGTAGAAGTGTAGAAATTGATGAGAAGAACAAAACCATCACTGCTTACCACGAGTCTGGACACGCAATCATTGCCTATTATACAAAGGATGCAATGCCCATCAACAAGGCCACAATCATGACTCGAGGAACAACACTGGGACACGTGAGTATTTCTTTATTTAGTTTAATCACTATTTTTTATTTTATTTAGTTCATTAGTATTTCTTTATTTACTCTTATTTTTGTGTTGGTTTGGTGGTGTTGAGGAGTTTGGCAACAATGCTGTTTGTTGTGATTATATTAATGCATATCATAGTCTGAGCAGTCTCTTGGAAAAACCTGCTGGTCATCTTTTCTGTCTGATAAAAAACTTCTGCCTTCATCTTGAAATAAATTAGCATACACTGGTCTAACAGTTCACATGTACTAGGAAAGAAATGTAAGTAAGTTTGATTCTGCTGCAGTTAGAATAGCATCCAACAGCAAAACTCTGAAGAATGCCTGAAGGACTAGTAAGTAGAAGCATTTCTCAACTGTGCTTTTAACAGAAACATCCTGTATCAAGTTGTTCTTTCTAAACCTAATCATTGCCTATCTTGTTTCTAGCATAGATATTCCCTAAGTTTTTCTGTTTTGCCTTTAGCTGCCAAGCATCTGAACAGAAAAATATTTCTACTTTGTCTCTTTCTGCTGATTGTTACCCAAGTTAATGTGTTCAGTTAAAGAAAACCATTAATCTGAATCCTCTGGG